AGCTGTGGTGTTTGTTCTCTTTCTATTCACAAATACCAACACCATAATCAAACCTTCAAAGCCCTGTCTGTGGGTGATGGCCCTTCTTTTCACAATAGATCTTGCATATTATTGTATTGTTGTTTTGGGATTAATTAGGGAAACATAGGGATTCATTTATGGTTCTTCCATTCATTTTTCTTTAGCTGAAACAATAGTTTCCGTTTACTCTTCCTCATTTCAAAATATATAGGCTGCTCTTTTGTTTTTTTTTTCCTCTTGCTCAAGGTCCCTCACCTATACACGATGGATGATCAACCACCAAGATCTTAACCCTTTTTTCTCAACAAACTAATAAACTCTTCTTTTGAATATGAAAGATACGAGTTCTAATTTATTGCGTTGAGTCAATAGAAGAAATGTAGAACAAATCGCATTAAGTTTCATTAACCGACATGATCAATTCGCTGAAAGCGTAACAAAAAGTGATTAAGTAATTGTATAAACAAACAACAAATTCTAAAGAGAATCTGAACGACTCTATTCAATTGGAATCCTTTCAAAAATCAATAGCCATTGTTTTGCCATGGAGCAGCCATCAAACAATATATCAATAATATTTGAGAGTTTTCTCCTATTTCATTGAGCTAAGTAGAAGACCAAAGTGCCCAGAACCATAACAAAAAGTAGTAGCAAGTTAACAGTAGAAACAGAAAAACAAACAACAAATGTAAGTTATCACCACGTCAAAGATCGAGTAAAAGGGCGTACTCAGTACACGAGACTATTACCATTGCAGAATCCGGGAAAAATTAGATGTACGCAGTCTATCCACTGCAAGTAAAGAGACTGTTTCCACACGTCAAGGATGGAGTACTATGATTAATAAGCAGGTTTTTACTAATCGCTCAGATCAAGGGCATCTGGGGCTTGATGATTTAGGGGGGCAGAACATAGGTGATTAATGACTAAACTAAAAATATTAGAGCTGGATCTTGAACTTGATGCTCATTGACACTGTCTCCCAAACTGGTCTTAGCAAACTACCAACTAAAAGTAACAAAAACTCAAGTTGAACTACATTGTATGTGTGTGTGTGTGATACATTTGTCGAACTGCATTGTATTTCCTTCCTTGTCTTGTGGTTTTATGGTTCACTTGGCTCAATGAGGGGCCACTGTGACACTGTCCCAGAGGAATACTCAGGACTTTGAATTTGACTTTGCTACCTCTGTGCATATACCTATCATTTTCCCACCGAGCAATGCTATTAGGACCTAATTCATTATGACCTTTGGATTAACTGTGAGCTCCATCAAACAATAAAATTTGGTGTTTATCCAATGGTTTCAATAAAGCCACATCATTAAGTCAACAAATTATGTCAATTTTTTAAGTCCAAATAGCATTTTCCTTCTCTACCAAGCTCTACTAGGAAACCTGCCCTCGGGGAAGCACTTACACCCTCTCTAAGGAGCCCTTTCGTGCTCGTTAGCGCTTGACTAATAATATAGGACTTTTCAGTTTGATTAGAATCAATTCTATGATTGAGTAGGGGCGGAGAAGGGGTACCATGGAGCCATCGCTGTAGTGTCCGATTAACGTTGGAGTTGGAGGCCCTACACTACTATGCCATGGTATTGTGGGGCAAAGAGGTTATTAATTTTAGGCATTAATATTAATTTAACATCGTCCTGGGAAGATCTTAATAGTTATTATTTAGAGGTCACAAGCTAAATTCTTATCCATTCAACCCTCTTGTGGATTTTTTTCCCTCTTTTCTATTAAAGATCCTCTAGAATTTACGTCATAGTTAGATGTCTCAAAAATGCTTGATTGCAATGATTTTTCCATGGTGAAAAATAAAAGAGCAATACTATAAGGACCTAATCAGGGATAATAATTTATTGCAGTCCTTAGATAAGTTGCGAGTTTCAAGGTTGAGTGGCATCCATTTTCAATCTAACATGTCCAGTTAATTAGGTTCTCAAATTAAATTTAGATAACATTTTTCAAAATTAAGAAAAAATTGGAGGTTAGAAAATTTGAACTCTTTTCCTACCTCTTCTTTCCTTTTCTTTGACTTTCTTTATTTCTTTTTGTATCATTTCCTCGTGATATTCCTCAAATTAAGTTAAAATAACATTTTTTTTTAAATAAAAAAAGTGTAGAACTCGCCAAGTTGTGATATTGTGGTGATAGTGATAGTCATGGGGGCATGGGTGGCAATAATCTAAAATGCAGTTGCAAAAAAATAAAAACCAAATGATTTATTATAAATAGTGTTCATTTAAAATAAGGAAGTAAAAACGAATCATTTACACAAAATTAAGAAAAAGGAAAGAAAATAAAATGGTGACAAATTTAAAGGACCAACTTAATCTAAATTGATTATATTTCCTTGTTTAGGTGAAATTTGTTTTGAAAAAATTGAGGGAATCGACAAAGAGTTGCTTGCACTATTTATATAAGGTAATTTGCTCACATGACTTCAATAATATATGAAAAAATGAAATGACAATCTTACCAAATTAATGATATTACAAGTGACAAGGTCAACAAAACAATTCTCTCAAAGTGTTAAATACCTATATTGCTCTTCTTTTTTGCATTTCTATCACTTGCGCTCTTATTCGTGTCTATTCAGATCAAGTGAGAATAATAAAACTTGACAGGTCTCAAAGCTATTAAGCTAACGGGTAGCCTTTAAAAATGGCTATTGTAATTGCACTTTGCTGCGATTTTGGGACAGAACTAAAAACAAATAAAGTTTAACGCAAATGACATATAAGGATAATCAAGCAGAAATCGAGAGCCAAAAGTTTTAAACAAAAGTTAGAAAATTAGGTTATAGTTATAAATCATAAACTAATTATCGCACTCACTTTTAATGCGAGTGTAAATCACTTCTACAAATCTTTTCAGCAATCTACTGTGATTTATACTATTAATAAAGGAAGATGGAGGACTTTCATGTCCTCCCCCTTTATTTACCTCTTATGACTTCTTCTTTCAAATATTTAATCATGTAAATGAGATTGATAATCGAGTTTATCTTTGCGAGTTCGAAACGAATTTGTTGAACTCGCCTTTTTAAAACGAGACTAAAATATTGTTTAAATTCATATCGTTTAGAAAATAAGTCGAATCCGAACAGCTCATCTATTCTATATATAAATGAGTTGAACTTTGCGAATTTGAATTGAATTTTTTTAAACTTATTTTTTAATTGAATCTAAAAAATTATTCGAACTCAGTTGTTTCGGGTCGAATCGTATACGAGTCAAATTCAAGTCTTAATTTTTCTTTTTCTTTTTTAAATGCTTTATGTTTTCTTTATCGACAAATGGTTAGTGTTTGTGCACAATCTCTAGTCAGGAAAGTGAGAGCGTGTATTGCAGCCCAAACATTACTGCCTGGGACTAAGATGTCTCGAAATGAGGAACTCTGCAGGGTAAAACCCATAGAGACGTACAAATACTTAACAACAAAAACAAAAATAAAAACAAAAAAACCTATAAAACCCAATTATAGTAATCTTAAAAATATCAAAATCTAACAAAATTAACAATTTAAAAAGTAATTTTATTTTACAATCATTGTTAATCTACAAACTCGACAGGTAAATCGATAGATTCGATTAATAAAAAATTAAAATTTAACTTTAACAGATTCGGATTGTGAATATAGTAACTTACTACATCTATTAAATAATTAAATAACACACAAAAAAATTATGCTAATACAATACAAATCCGTTAAATATGTCTTATACATAACATGGAAAGAAATGTGTATAATATTATATAATTATGAATGAATTGCGTATAAATTGTTAAAATTTTGACATGAGTAAGACACAATATAAATTTGACACTAGTGAGATTTATTAGTAGTTCTTAGAGACGACAGTAGACCCGAAAAAAATAAGAATTTGTATAAACTTGTTTCGTTTAAATTGAGGATGACACATATATATTAAACGGTGAACGTATATGAAAATACCCGTATAAATTTATACGAGAATGGACCGAAATTTATCCCCGCCCCATACCTACCCCGCTAAACCCGTTACGTTTATTTATAGATGAAAGACAAGTTTCTACTTTACATGAGCCTATCAGCATCGAATCTTTTGTTGCGTATGTTATGATATTATTTATCATGTTGTTATTATCAATTATGTCGCAGACAAATTTTTAATTTTATTAGTATCATTGTTGTTGTTTTTGCTCAATTACAAGGATTATGTTGTTAACTTTTATTTTTTATTTTTAATTTTGTTCATATCAATTTCTTAAAAAAAAATTGGGGGAGGGGGAGGGGGAGGGAGGAGGAGAGATGGAGATTTAAACTCTTGATTTCAAGAATGCAAAGTATTCACAATATAAAAAATATCATTAGATCAAATATTCTTTGGTCATATATATGATACAAGCATAGAACGATAAAACTTATACTTTAATTGTTCAATGTTTTTCTTAAAATCATAAAGTTTAATTATAACCGGCATGCACCGAGGTGAAAGTGAAGACAAATGGAAGGGACAGATGGCGGAGGCAGTTTGTTGTGGTGGGGGCCGGGGTGGGGGGGGGGGGAAATAAACTTTTTTTAAGTGCGTAGGGAGGTGGAGACTATTCTCCCACCCCGTCCGATCCATTGCCATTCTTAGTAGTCCTACCCCAAGAGCACAAAATATACTTGGATTACCATTATTCAACTTTATTACCAAATAACCCACAAAATGTACTTATCTCTTGTGGTGAACAGCTAATTAAAAGCTCATTAAGCTAATTACCAAAAGTGAATGGAAGGAGATTATTTCTCCATTATTTATAATAATAATTGGTCAAAGTCTGAGTTTTATTTGACCGACATTTTTAAACTGGGCCGAGCATCCTGGGCCACACGTACTCCAAGGGCTGACATAACACCGTTTGATGTTCACTCATAGTCATTGGCCTGACGCTTTTTAGTGGATCCATATAGACTACGTGTCAAAATCCCACATTGTTATCGGGATGCGGCGACAGGCGAGTCGTGTTCCCACACGGCACTCGCCGGAATCTTTGGGCCACAAAGCACCCACCGGCCGGTGATTTTATAAACTTTCCCTTCTAAACTCACCCTCATATCACTATATACTTTTCGATTATCTTGAAAATAAAAATATTTTTAAAAATTATCAAAATAAAATATTAAAATATTAATGTCAAATTTTCAAAAGATCCTCAAACATTCAAAAATATTATTATTCTAATTTTTCATTAAAAACATTTTTTTAATAGAAAAAGATACAAATTTTTAACCTCTATAACGGAGGGTCATTTGATATATCCATTTCTAATACCAATGAAATTCAGGAGACGTAATTAAAAGTTGAATTTGAAATTTTCGAATTTAAGATTCACTCAAGATTAACCCCTTATTAAGTAGTTACCCACCCAAATTAAGAATAAAATTTTGATTCTAACAATAATAATTATTAGAATCAAATTCGATATCCCAAAATGAATCATGGTAGTCAATAAAATAATAATAAATTATTTCCCTATTTAGGCTTTCCAATTTCAGTTGTTGGATACTTGGATCCTATAAATCAGCAATTTCACCGTTCTACTCTCTCTCTCTCTCTACTCTACTTTCTCTCTCCTCAACATACAGTCTAACCCTCTACTCTTTCTCCCCTTCATTCCTTCTATAAGTTGAACCCTTTACTTTCCTGCAACTATCTCCAGAAAACAGTAACATTCGTACAAGTACGATAGATTATTATTTGCTTCCTCATGCCTGGTTTCTATATTTAAGATCCTTACGCTCCTTTTTATTTAGGGTCACGTTAATTTTCATAGAATTCTTCAGTCTTACTTGTCTGATCCTTCTTTATACAGAACTTTTCTCTTTGTCTCTGCTTTTCGTTGCTTTCTTAACATGATTCCTACGCATCCACCCATCAGTATACTAAAGGTTTTGTTTCAAGATAAGCTTCACTTTGTCTCTCAAATTCCTTTTTGTTAGATTTTCTGAATCGGAATATTGTCATTGGTATTGTGTTAGTGACCCAAAAAGTTTTTTTGACCTTATCTTTGACGATTGATTCCTGAGATACAGAGAGATGAACCACAATATGCTACGTCCGATCAAATACACCGAACACCGGGATGTTACAAAGAAAATCACTAAGCCACCCATAGTGAAGCATAAGAGGTTTTCCGATAACCGGAAAGTTTTGGAATACAACTCCGGTATTCCAAGGTCTGTACGGATATCGGTTACTGACCCTGATGCCACAGACTCCTCGAGTGATGAAGAAGATGAGCTTTTTGGGCGACACAGAGTGAAGAAGTATGTGAATGAGATTAATATCGAAATTGCTAGCAAAAGCAGTGTGATTGTAGATAATAGGAAGAAGGTAATGGGAGAGAAATTTCAGGGTAAACGGAAGCCGACGAAGGAAACACCGGCGGGTAATGTTAGGAAGTTTCGTGGAGTCCGGCAACGGCCGTGGGGGAAATGGGCGGCGGAGATCAGAGACCCGGCGAGACGTGTAAGGTTGTGGTTGGGTACTTACGACACCGCCGAGGAGGCTGCTATGGTCTACGACAATGCTGCTATTAAGCTCCGTGGACCGGACGCTTTAACCAACTTCACCATACCTCCACTTCAAGGAAAACGAGAGATTAACATGACGTCAGTTTCAGGCTACGAATCCGGTGATGAGTTTCGCAATCTATCATCTCCGACTTCGGTTCTACGCTTCAGAACCAGTCAGTCCAGCGAAGAAACTGAACAACAGAGCCGGTCTGAACCAGTTCAAAATGATGGAGTGAAAGAAGCTGAAGAGTATCAATCAGTTGCAGCTCCCATGGAGTTTCAACCAGTTCATGAACCGGATTCGGGTCCTCAACCGGGCCAAGAAGATGAAGAGTTTCAGGGTGAAACGGATTCATCAGTAGATTACTCCAGTGAATTTTTGCCAATGGATACACCATTTTTAAACGATCTCTTCAATTTCAAATCTCCAGATCCAATACAGTTCGATGAGGAACCCATCTTCTCCAATAACTTCTTCACTGAAGATTTTAGCTCACCATTTAATGACCTCTCGGTTTTTCCCAATAAATTCCTGAGTGATGAAGATATGGGCATGTTCAACGACTCAGTTCATAATCTTGGATCATCGTCTATGTTGGAGGTGGAAGATTTTTTTGGAGACTTCACCTCCGACGCTTTAATGGCGCTATGACGTACTCTACACAGTACAAGCAAGTGTCGCCGTCGGCGACTTACCAAGTTTGTTGGCAAAATTTTGTAACGGCGGGGACAAAATATCGGCTGGTTTTTGGTTTTATTATGTTTAATGTTGTATTATTTATTTGTTTAGAAATCTCCATTAAAAAATAATGGAGATCGAGTGGAATTTTGTTTAGATTTTATTTTATTTTTCGAATAAATAGCTTTTTGAGAGTGTAATATTGCAGCAGGACTGAATGAATGGAAAAGTGAGATGAAACTTATTTGAGACGTATAATTATTATGAACAATGTTATTAGGATCGAAAAATCTGATTTAATTCACTGTGATCTTTGGATTGTCTGTAGGTCTTATTAAACATTGGAATTTGGTGTTTATCCAATGATCCCTATTAAGTCTGATCATTATGTCGACAAATTAGATCAAATTTTTATGTCCAAATAGTATTACTCAATTATTATTAATCACGTCCACGTGGGTGATGTTTGATGGAATCGATTACTACATTACTGTACTTACGTCTTCAATTATCATTATTTGCAAGAAATAAGATTTAAAATCAAATTTTTTAATAATTTATTTTTGAAAACTCGGAGTAAATTAGGAAAAGGGTGTAAGATGGTCAAATATTTATATGGTTGTTAGATGCCTTGCCTGCCAAAGTGGCATTCCGTTTGGGCCCACACGAGTCGGCGCAATTTGCGGTTAGCCATTTTGACAGGGTTGGGTTGAGTCGGTGTGGGTGGCTCGTGTGAAAATGAATTAAAAGTCCCAAAATCTCCAAAGATTTGGTCACGTTGAACGCGCCACCTTAGGCCTTTTAAGTCATGTTCTCTTTCTGCAGAAAACTAGAAATCTACAAAAATATTACAGTTATTACTAAATTTAAATGGAAAGTAATATTTGAATTTAATTTAATATAATTATTCAATTGTTACATTAAAAATACATTGTTATGTCATTAGATTAAATTCTCAAATTAGGTTTTCATAGTATTACTCAATTTATATTACAGATAAATGTATTCTCTATTCGATGGCTTGAGAGCATACCCAATACATAATTTTTATTAAATGTTATTCATTATAAAGCGCATTTCCAATAGAATAGGGAGTTCTATTGGAATTGTATGAAATATTTTATTTTCTATTTTAATTTTTCAAAGCATGTTCGATATTGTTCTCTATTTTTAGAAAGAGAGAGACCCCTGTCTAAGTTCATACTTACTGATCAGATATCCGTTAAGTGATCTTTTGAATTCAAAAGATAAGGGCTGTTTCCTATAATGTTTGTGTCTGGACATGCACTCGGGACATAAAGTGATCAGTGGCTATAATAACCTAAAATGCACGAGGACATGAAGAGCTTTTTCATATTATGACATACCCATAGAGAGCTTCTCTTCTGCGGGAGAAATTTCTTGGCATCGGAGGAGTAGAGGGGCAGAGAGAATCTAATTTCGTCCTCTGTGATGGCTTTGGTATAAAATGACATCTCATCCTCGGTCCCGAAAGTACGGGAATACAAAGTCGGGTTATAATCTTCTATGTCTACATATGGGGGAATGCGATACTGGACCCTAAACCTATTAATCTATTCGCCCCTTCACTTTGTACTTCCCTGACCTCGAGGAACTAGCCGGAGGATTCTCAGGGGCAGGGCGACGTCAGGGCATCTCCAAAAACGATGAAAAGTGAAGAAGAAGGGAGGGGGTTTTCCCACGAAAATCCCCAAGGAGGCTTCCTGAGGGTTGGTCACAGAATGGCGACCAGAAACACCTCCGGTTATCAAAAAATCAAAAGAACATAAAAACAGCGAGAAGAAGAAAAGAAGAGACAGAATGACGAAGAGAGGGAAGATACAAGGACTCACCAGAACGTAAACGGAAGTTTTTCTTGAAAACTTGAAGTGATTCCTTCCCCTAGGATGTTCAGAAGCAAGGATGGGTCTGCTGGCCTTGAGACTCTGGTGAAAGATTGGGCAGTAAACAACGAAAGGACAGGGATCTCTGGCGAGGTTTCAAGCAAGGGCTCTCTGAAGAAGTTCGAAATGACAAAATGAAAGAGGGAGAGAGAAGTTCATTTATATAGTACTCATCCCCATCATTTGGGCACGAAGAGGCGCATTTAATGCGCACGACTTCCTAAGCAGGGGAAAGCGGCTAGAGGCAATGATGAAGTAGTTGGGGTAGTTGCAGAACCCTTCGTCTCCTTACGACGCATGTCCTCGGTGTTAGGAGATCGAAAGCTGGGGGGCAGTTGAATGGACATTTTTCAGATACTCCAAGATGAAGACACGTCTCCTCGACATCAATATATTCTTGTTACTGTGATCACGACACTTACTCGTCGGTTCATAAGTCCCTCTTCCCCCGAAATGTTGTTTCTAGGGATGAACGACACCCAGTACGTTACGTACTGACACGTATCCCTCGGTCGAAGATGGGTACATCCGTCCCTACATGTACCACTCCCTCGGTACCGAGATGTACCCGTTCAGGTTGACATTTTCTGCTCCTGCAGAGGCTATTGATGTACAGGTCACTAGCGTAGACTAGGCTAGGTTAGTCATCATGACCTCGTCTTACACAATTGATGTCAGAAGGCAGAAGACCCAACCAATGGGGAATGGGCGCGTGGCATATTGTGTCAGATCAGAGACAAAAAAGACTGAGATGTCCTTGCTGACACACGACTTAGAAAAACAAGCATTTAGTGCACCATTCCCTTTATGAGACAACATTTAATGCAGGAAAGCTCGGAAGTGAAAGGTAATAAATGTTTCTATGACTGGACATTTATTACATCTCTGCCGAGAGAAGCTTATTAAACACTCGGCAGGTCGATGATGAAGCATTGGTTGCTCGGGATCCCGAGCAGTTAGGAAAGAAGACATTCCTCATAGGAATCAGTGTGCACGTTGCCCGTATCTAATGATCACCTACTGATCACACTGACAGCAATCATGAGTTTTTGAGGTATAAATACTCCTCATAAAAAGTAAGACGGGATGCAAAAAAACCTTTTCTCAAAGAGATACATAATGTTTTCTTCTTCCCCTCTCTCAAATAACTACTTGATCGTTGGAGGGGATACGCCGAAAAACATTCCGGCGCCCTCCTAACTCATTTTTCTCTGTTCCAGGAACTTCCCTCAGCCTTACTGAACCACTCTATTAATCCACGAAAGTCACTCATTATCGTTTCAGGCTACCACCGGACCTCACACATTTCCAAATAACAAGGCTGACCAATCGATCGACTGACTCGTGTTTACCACGGGAGAGATCTGTTCTTATGTGTATATTGTGCAAGATCCTGCACGCACATGAACCATTACGGTCAAAGTATTGCGCGTTGCCTCGTATTTATAATCTATAATATAAAACACAGTAAATCTCATTAAGTCTATTGGACGATCTCAAATAAACTCATCCAACAGTTATCAAAATTCTTTTCAAAATTATTCACGTTAAATTTCTCGTCTCCCAAATTTATCACTTTTACTTATATTGCACCGTATTTTCAGGCACAAATTACCCGTAATGTAATAAACATGCCCAAGTGTTCGATGCTGATCAGTTGTGCCTGAGTTTGATGATTGTTCTTCCTCACGTGAGACTTTATTTTTTCTTCTTTCCCTCACTGCAATATTACAATGCAGCCCCCGGTAATTTTACGAGTGGGGTCAAACTGTCATTATGTGCAAGTTGGTTGTAATGATGGCATAGATTGTTGCTTTTGCATGTGGAGATCAGAGTTATCAGCAAGATTTCATTACCTACTTTCCTCGAACACATCTGCCTTTTGTGGCCCCCCACTGTACGGCAATATAGGCACCCCAATAATGAATTGTAATTAGACTTCCCTCAAATGAACTATAACTTAGCGTAATATGAGATCATAGTATCGATTAGGTATTATTGTTCTAGCTTCGAAAACAACCTACAAATTTGTGGATAGGAGTAATTCTACCATAGTAAAAAATGAATTTTTATATTATATAGAAACGTTAGTGTGTTGGTCTAGATAGACTCGATGATAAATTTAACTAACTTGACCCTTGATACTTATTGCTAAATTAATTAAAAAAAGATCTACATTCACTAGCACTTGTGATTTTTGGTGTAATAGTAAGTATTTCAATCCAACACTCGGTATCAGAGCGAAGTCATGAATTATAGTCTCATGATAATTGTTGGGGGAGATTATTGGTCTGAGTAGAAGTACAACAAGTCTGCTTAAGTTTTGGTGGAGAGTTTAACTAACTTGACTCGTGGGTACTTACTGTTGAATTACTTAAATGAAAGAAATTGTGTATTTACTAACACTTGTAGGTTTTAGTGTAACGGTTAGCACTTCAATCCAACATAATAAACCAAAAAAGATAACTAAATGATGTAGTAATGACATAGAAAACAAAATGTAAATGGAAATGAATATCAATGATATCCACATTATTAGCTCCAAACTACTTCGTTTAAAAAATAACTCTCATTTTACCTTGCTAGAGGCAAGAGTATTAGAACTTCATGAAATTAAAGGATGACCATTGAATTGAATCCTCAAACTAAGAAAACTTCTCGTTCAAGTTGATTACAATTACACTTGATATAGCTAGACTATTCACTCACCTCAACTCCACTAGCTAGTTCTTCAAACTATTTATGAACTCTAATAACTCCCCAAAACAATTTTATTTCCCAACAAAATGTCATTGTCGGTCAGTTAAGACACTGATTCACTGGCTAGCTTTCTTGGACAAGTAATCAAATATTTGGCATTTTCTACCACTTGTTACAACCTTTTTGAATCAGCTAAAGTCGATCTCATACATAAGCCAAACAAATATTCAAATTCATTATTAGGAGGATTCACAAACTACCTCAGCATTCCACTTACCCTAAAAAAAAAAAATCCCTTTGTGTCCTGGATGAAGAGTAGAGTATTGATGGAGGTAGGTGAGGTGCAAGTTATATTTACAAAGAGCATAATCTATTCTAAAATATTATAATCGATCACAAAAGTTAGAATTAGTTGGAGTTATTTATAATCTATCCCAATATTTTATGATAGATAATAAAAAACTCCAATAACATATATAATTTCAACTGTAAAAGTAATTATTTTAGATACTATATATACTGTGTAAGCTGTGGCATATTTATGAGGAAAGACCAGAAGGGCACACATTTCCTGGCCTAGTAAATTGCCGAAAGCAAAACACTGGGGGAGTGGGCGAGAGAGATGCCGGAACTGTTGTCACCGGTGAGAGAGAGGGGGGGGGGGTCTGATGTGGAGCAAAGGCTAAACGAGGGGCGACGCTGACGTAGCAGGTTATAAGAGAGAGAGAAAACAAGTGAAAAGGAAAGAACACAATCGTATCAGAGCCGACTTTGCATATATAAGTCTGAAACTGAAAATGAAACAGATTAAAAGTGAGTTGTAATGCAATTGAATGAACACGACAGCACCTGATGAGGAAGGGAGAGAGAGAGAGAGAGAGACCAATATGATGTTTTGGGGTAGCTCAATGGCTTGGTCCCCATTTTACACTTGGTCATCTTATTTCTGAGCCGCAGCCTCTTGCGTCCTTTTCTCACAGATTTTATAGTTTTTCCAAAGGTTCAAGCTGTATGAACTGTTAATCCTCAAGATTGATTATAATTCTGTAAGAATTCTCAAGTGCAGTGCGTTTCACGCCCCTTAAAAGTCATTCACCCTTATTTTTATTTTTCACGAGATGTCATTAAACTAACTTGAGTTACGATGGTCAGTCTAAGGGTTCAAAAGAATAGCCGATACATGCCTGAATATCCCATAACCCAAAAAAAAAAGTGTACAAACCATTAATGTTTGTATGCCTACAATAAGCTAGTCATTTGCCAGAATTAACTACTTATTTGACATTTTAACTACATTGTTTATGTCAATTTAACTCCTAAACTATATATTTGATTCAATATGACCCTTTCGTCAAAACTATTCATTAATTTTGACAAAATCTCTTAAGTGCACATCACATGAATTAGATATTAGGTTATAGTTTAAGGGCTTACATACTTGAGAATTTTTGTCAAAGTTAAATAAGAATTTAGATAAAATAGTCAAATTGAGTCAGATTGCATACTCTAAATTTACATAAAACATAGTTCAAGAATTTAATTAACATGAATAAAATAGTTAACTCCATTTGTTACTTTGAACCACTAGATATCGATGATCAATTATAAAAACGTGGATAAATTATGTAATGCAATAACCAATTATTTCGTATAAAATATACTTTTTTTTAATTAAATAAAGAATAATAATAATATGAAATTACTGTTATATTTGATATTTACTCGATTTGTTTGGTAATGATCAAGTGTAAACAGCCGCCATCATGACTCATGAGCCACATGGTTTGGGTCAAACTGTGAACATATTTTCCTTTAATTCACCAACCGACATAAGGGTGTAATGGGCCCATGGAGGTGGAAATGCTGAAACAATGAAAAACTTTTTGTGAATGAATGTTTTGATACTCATAGTGGAACTCATCGAGATCAAGGTGATTTGTGGGCGAGTATTGTTATTGGCACTTCAAAAAAATTAATTTAATTTTTTAACTTATTCTATGTTAAGTGATTTAGTGTTAATGTAAAAGTCCAATTATTACTATTAAACTATATTACTGTTACATCATTATATTATTAAATTAAATTAATTTTTTGAGTTTTAATAATGGACCTGTTTGAAACTCATTTTTTTGAGTGTAAAACAAAAGTTGAAAAGGTGAAATGAAAAAATTAGAATTAATCACAAGGGATAGTTCAAGTGGTAATAGGGATTAACTGTGAACTCAAAAGTCTTGAATTTAAATTTTGACAATCCTTTGAAGTCAAACTATAAAGGATTTATCCCTCATGAATCCTCTAATCCGAGCGTGAATAGCCTATCTTTGACTGGATTGGGAAAAGGACTAGTCGAGATGAGTGTAAATTGATCGGACACCCTTCACTGTTGAACCCAAAAAAAAAAATTCAGAATTAAAAAAACTTTTGAATTCGTTTGGAGTGTTTCTAAAAAAAATTAAATTTTTCTTCGAAACTCTCTCATAAGTTTCATTTTTCAGTTTTCATTTTTTTCTTAATGTTGATAAAAGCTATTTCTATACAAAAAATTGATGAAAAAATCGCTCAATAAACCCAAATTCAAACGAACTAGACATTTTTGCTTCTAAATCCTCCAAAAACTAAAGTTTTCATCAACCTCCAAACATGCCCAGTATATTACTCTTCATCTTCATTTTTCATTCTTCATTTACACTCGGATTTTTGTACAGAGAAGGGCCATTAAAATCCGGGTTTTCGGTTAAAAGCTTTTTCCTTTTCAAATTGACGCCTCAATATTTTACTTGTTTGAAATTTCGCATCCAAATCATTAGAAATTGGAGGGCTGATCCTTGTTTAGTCAACGATTAGATGGAAAATTAAAAGGCAGACAAGAAAAGGAGGATGGTTTGTCTTGTCCTCTCACTCATTGAAAGGGGAATACTTCTTCGATTTTAATTATGGATCCGGTTGGAACTCGAGAGAAAGTGATGGACAGCTACAAATTTAAAAGACTCACCATGTTTTTCAAACTCCAACTTGTACCCTCATATGTACAGACGTTAAAACAAAGTCAAAAGGCAAATAGCAACCCACAACGTTTTTTCAATTCCTCTCTCTCCCAAGATCATAACAAACTTCACAACGTTCTTTTTGTCAAAGGTTGAGGGACTTGGCAGCTTCCCCTTGATACAGGTTAGACAAAAGTTTAACTTGGTGTGTTTAGTTAGTTAGGCAGATGGAAAGTGGGAGTGATACGTTTTTTATTATTCAAAAGAAAAAAATTTCTTTCTCCCCTCTATAATTCGTTTGATACAATAAAAAAATAAAAAATTAGAAGAATAAATAAAACTTCATTCCACTTTTGTATGAAGTTAATGAATCGAGTCAAAATTTACTGACCCCAAATAGTAGTATTAATCAAACCAAACTTTGCGAGTTTAAACTCGAACTTTACAAACTTGTTTTTATAAACAAGTTTAAAAAATTATTCAAATTCAGCTCATTTAAAACTCGAGTTGAGCTCGAACTCAAACCCAAATAACTCAATTATTTTACATATAAACAACCCGAGCTTTGCGAGATTGAGTCGAACTACAAGTCTAAAAAATTGTTCAAATTCAACTCATTTAAAATACAAGTTAAATTCAAGCTAAATTTTATCTGAACTAAACCTGAATGTCTCGATTAACACCGCTAGACCCAAGTCACTTGTTCATTGCCTGAAAAACGTCACTGATGTCCAAAAGACATTTCAATGCAATAGAATAAGAAGTGATATCTGTATCCATTGACCACTAGATAAACTGAACATCTGGATTATATACACTCAATTTCGCAGATATAACATAACTTGAAAAACTGGAACTGACACTCATACTATGATTTCCTAATTGGTCCAGCATTTCGTATTACCGAATTGCAAGACTACATGCTTTCCCTAACCATCGCACACCAAGCTATTCAATCAATCAACAAAGGTTAAAGCAGCTAAAACATGAAAACTGGATCAAAGAATCCTACCCTCTGGCTGACAAGACATCTAAGTGGCTTGAAAGACCATTGGAAGAACCCTTGAGCCGTCTCGCATTTCTGTTGTAGATAACATCTTCTTGCCTCTGTGGGAGGTCTGAAATGAATTTGTCCTTACAAGATACTTGATGCAGTTGGAGCAATGCAATCATACTGACTGCAAAGAAAGCAGCATTCCCCAATATCCCACCCATGTGTTCCAATTTAAGGGATTTCTTGGCAAAATTAATACTAGACATGAGAAATTTGATGAGAACATTAGACCTTCTCCCTTCTTGTGTCACAAAGTTCTCACCAGATTGACATGGAGCTGAAGCATAAAGGTTCTCAGGTGAACCAATGCGAGCAGCATCACGTACATCTCCTACAAAAGCTAGCGCTTCATCAATCACTTTGTACTTCTTACCTTGGTGCTCAGCCAATCTCATTGCAAGAACCACCCGGCTTTGCTCTAGTCGTGCAACAGCAGCATCTCTCTCTGCCCTCTGCTGTGTCTGTACCGTCTGTGAAAACAAAACTTCAAATTACCGTATAAATACATAAATTTACAAAGCAGACATAAAAATACATTAAATGCTAGTGAATGTAAGTAAACTCATGCGAAACTGCCAACTTAAAAATGATTCTCACAGGTATAGACCACAAAGTTATGTGTATGCATATAAGCTGGATAAGAGGTGTAATTTTGAGTGCCATTTATATTTTCAACAAATGCCCCAAGAAAATTCATTAAAAGGCAATAAAGGAAAAGAAGATAAATAACTGGTGGGGAGTGATTTAATCTACTAATGGTCTACCGTCTACCAATCTTTCAAAGCTCTTTTTTCCATTTGGACTACTATTAGCACCCTTAACATGTTGGTATGGTTAAGACATTCGAGTGGCTTGCCAATAGCACCTCATGCAAAGCCAAGGTGCGGAAGACTTGGTAGTAAGTCAGATTTGATGTCAAAGTGGTTTGGATGCTAAGGGATGTGCAGCAGTGGCACCATGATTCCTCAGACATCCCGATGTCATTGTTGTCACTCAAGTTTTACTCCATATTGCATATATAAGGGAAGGGAGGTGTTCCTTGAGGGGTATCTTGCCGGTAACCCTTATGCCCCCTAACCTTAACATACCAAAACAAGGCACAACCCTAAAAAACCTTGTGAAGGGTGAGCCAAGGCATGCAAGTTTGAGAACCGAGCCAATGTGAGACCAAGACATTGGTGGAACCCGTCACTATTGGAAGTTCCATGCACGTCTGAGGAAAACAACACATCATGGGCACAGTGAAGCAACACAAGGCATGGCCGGGTTTGAAGACCAAGCCATGGGCTTGGCAAGCTGGCTCACACAACCTGGTGGTTTGTTGGATAACCACCCAGTCCCTTCCTAAAGCGGCTTCAAATTTGAGATTCTTACATTTCAGTGCAACAATTTTCTTTGGTGCTACTATCCCACTTGTACATGTTTTCTTAGCCAACTCTCTCCTCTTGCGTCAACTACTGTTATCTCTTCCACGTTCTCTTGAAACCATTCACTTATAATACTGTAACTGTCCCAATAACAACCCTTCATTTTTCTTAGCTCTGCTTATACACCAGGTGTGGCCACTATCTTAAATGCTTTGAATGGTTGCATCCAAATATTCAACCAGTTCTTGTAGATGATTCCTAAGTCTATCACATCATATTTGGGGACCAAAAGCAAGACCTGGGCTTCATTTTCTTGATCAATTCATTAGAAAAGTACCGGAAAACTCTATGAAAGGTCAAGGACCTAAAGGGAGGGGCTTCCACATTTAGTTAAGGTCAACTATAATGAAAATAGAGGAAAAATCACTATGTAACAGAAATGCCCTCAACGGAACAGGTTATAAAGCAAGCAATTAAATAAATGATTGCTTTTCTGAGCCTAAGTCACATGTGGTGTAATTATGGCTCTCAGCGAAATGAGATAGGATATTCATTTTAGCTAATGCAACAATGAAAATGTTGTCAGCAGACACTGAAAATCTCCTAATGCTAACAGCTAACCATGAACTAGATTATACTTACTTCTAATAACAGAATACAGGACCATCGAAAACTAATAAAAAACCTATTGGCAGGGTAAACAGTTTGCTCTGAGATTTCCCCCAGTAGGTGTTCTATCATAATACTTACAAACTGAATTTCAGAAGTATTGCTGCATTGTTAAAGAACACTATTGTCTTGCATGTATTTCCATATATTCATCTCAAAGTATCTCTATATATAGCAAGACACTTCCGGTGTAATTTTGATCTCACAGCTCCAACAGGCTGTTTGCCTATTAAATAGGGATTTTCCATAAATACCCAAGAATATCTACAGCCTTTGACACAGTGCATATAAACAAATTTTAGCAATCCCTTCAACTAAATCAGAAAACCGATCCAAACGAAGTTGACGGAAACACCAAATTAGCACAAATAACACAATCTATATCGAAGACATTTTTGTTGGGCTACCAAGAAATTGTAGGGAATATCAGAAACAAAATCTCCAATCTTACACTTAACCTGATATGATTAATTCACCTAAACTGACAATACATGGCTCAGCTTTCACTTTATTTTTCAACTTTCTCAGCGAACAAACACCAAAAAATCGAAACCCATGGAAATCGAAGCGAAGAGCAACTCACATGGAAGATCTCGAGCTGATCTTCGAGATTCTCGAGGGCTGTTCGAATCGCATTGAGACTCTTAGCCTCTTCAAGAGCAGAGTCATTGTCGTCAGCCCGGAAATCCTTCATGAAAACGAAGCCGCTTCTCTGATTGACATCGGAATCATTGAATTTCTTTTTCTCCGAGGAATTTCGGCAGGAAAAGAAATCAGTATCGGGGGATTTTCGGTTGAGGGATTTGATTGAATTGAGAAAGTGAGCTCTTGAAATGGAGTGAATAGCATCGCTGAGCTTGTCATGTAAGTCCCAGATTTTCTCAAGCACTGCTTCAATCTCTTCGACCTCCATTTCCCATTTCATGAGGAAACAACAGAGAGGAGGGAAAGTATATATTCCAGGGAAAAATTTTGGAGAAGGGAAAAAAAGAGGTTTCAAGGTTTTGGCTTTGTCCCGCCCTTGTGCGGATGTGTCAGGTGTGTGTGTGCGCGCGCGCGCGTGGTGGGTGGGTGGGTGTGTGAGAGTGAGAGTGAGAGTGAGAGAGAGAGAGAGAGAGAGAGAGAGAGAGACGCGGGCCTAATTTCTTCTGGTGCTTTCCAGCTAAGCCTCTCAAGTCTCAACGCCTCTCAACCTATTGGGTTTGGATATCCGGTCCGATATTCATTTCCGAATTTGTTTATAATCGAATATTCGATCCGATTATCCAATTCCATTCATAATAATATTCCATCAAAATTACAATAAATAATTTTTTAGATCAAATATAAATAATAATCTATAATATAAAATAAGACAAACTTTGATAAACTCATTCAACAGTCTCAAATGGACACATCTAACGATCGTCAATATCTCTTTCAAAATAATTTATATTAAATTTTTTCTCCTCCAAATCTATTATTTCTCACTTATCGTACCTTTAAAATAGATTATCCCAAATTAATATATATATATATAACCAGATTGAATTTTTATATACCTATTTTTATATTCAATTTAAGATATCTAAACCAAATTCAGATCAGATTCTAATTGAAATTTGATCTATTAATTGACCTATTTCCCCCACCGGGCTTGGGATAAATATACGTGGTCAAGAGTTCGAGTTTCGGGACAATGACAAATTTTTAGGTTGTTTTTTATCTATAAGTCATGTTATATTTTTTATATACAAGAGAGAGTCTAATTGTTATTTGACTACATATCAAAATAAATAAATAAAATTTATAGATGTCGAACAATAAAATAAAGGATGGGGTTATTTCCACCCCACAAATTTTCACGAGCACCCTATTACATTATAAATTATAAAATTATTAAGTTCACCTTTTTTATATATACCATATTAATAAATAAGTTCACTTCATTCTATACGCACCCCATTAATAATAAAATTTATCTCAATTTTTACTTTTAAAATTTCTTTTTATACACATCTCACACAGTCTATACACAAAAGATTCCACTTTGAATTTATTTCATGCAAATTACTTCTATTGTCATTGTTCGATCTCATTGTCGGACTAATACTTTGATTTTACTATGCGCTTCTCTTTCTTCCTTTTTTAATTGTCAATAAAAATAATTTGCACAGAAGAATATCTTCTTCAAACGCAATTTTCCCAATATATCTAAAAATTAAAAATCTCTCGGAGTCTTTGTTGAAGGTCACACCTAAAGCTAAATTTCTTGAAAAGGAAAAGAAAAATATCAACAAATCTCCCACCTCGAATTACAAGAATTTTGGTAATATATATTTACCAAATTTATATTTTCATCTCCCATTCTTCACTATAAAATTTTTGAAAACTTTGTATATTTTCAAGAGTTATTGTTTTAACTTTAAGAAAAATAATAATAAAAAAAAAGAAGAAATAATTACAGTTTTATTTTGTTCCTATAATTTTGTAATTGAAAGTGATTTTTTAGTAATGCTTGAAAAATAAATTTTTTAAAATTAATTTGATTAAATTCCACTTATAAATCATTGAATAAAATAAAAATAATTATCAATATACCAATCGTATTGGAACTTATTGTATTTAGTATTAGTTAAATCAATTGAGATAAAATTTAATATACAACATTATAATATATATTATAAATTATATTAATTTGTTTTAAAATCAGATTTTCACATAAAATATTAACAAAATTTAGAAAATTTATTGCGAATAAAAAATCTTGTAAAACTATATATATATTATTTTTTATTTTAAAAATAAAATGGTTAAATATTTTGATGAAAAATTAAAATATATATATGTAGTCATAATATTATTTTTATAAATGAGATGAGTATTATTATATTAATGAAGTTTTTGAAGGAATTTTTTGAAAATTTTGTCAAAATGTAAAATAATGTATATTTATTTTAGAATAATATAATCAATCAAAAAGTTTTATAAAAATTAATATTTATAAATAGAGAATAGATAATTAGAAAATTAATTTGAGTAAAATTCTACTTATAAATCACTGAGTAAAATAAAAATAATTATCAAAATACCAATCATATTAGAGTCTTATTGTATTTAGGATTATCTAGGTTAATTGGAATCAAATTTAATGTATAATGCTATAATATATATTATAAAATATATTATTTTTTTTTAAAATAAAGTTTTTACATAAATCTTAACAAATTCTGAAAAGTTTACTGCGACTAAAAAATTATGTAAAATTATATATGCATTTATTTTTTATCTTAAAAATGAAAGGGTTAAATATTTTGATGAAAAATAAAATATAAACATGTAGCCATAATATTATCTCTATAAATAAATTGAGTAATATTATATGATGAAATTTTTGAAGACTTTTTTGAATATTTTTTAAAATTTATAATGACGCATATATTTTTTAAAAGTAATACAATCAATCAAAAATTTTTCATAAAAATTAACATTTATATATGGGGAATATATAACTAAAAATGATATTAGATGTAATTTAGAGATTTAATTATATAAAATATATGATGATAATTTAGATATTAAATGTGGAATAATAGAACGAACTTTTTAATTCTTTATGAGGGCGAAATAGTAAATTAAAATTTTTCATGTTAAAGTACTTTTATTAGTAGTATAGAATATATATAGATATAGATATAAATAGATAATGGGGGGTGAATATAGAATGAGGTATAATTAATTATTAGTGAAATGAATATAGATGATATATGTTATGATTTATAATTTAATAAAGTGGGACAGAGATTTTTAGGGGTGAGAATAGCCCCCACCATAAAATAAACTTATATTATTACATAATATTGCTCAATTTTATTACTACAAATATATATAATTTCCTGTTTTGCTCTAATTAGGAGTGTCCCTAAACGCAACCCTAAATCGAGAAGGTTCCTTGCTCCACCCACCCTCTCTCTCTCTCTCTATGTGGGGTTAGTATACTCCCCTGCCCTCTGGCTTTCCTGTTCTCCAAGGAACTTGGAAAACAGCCTCGATTAGTCTTCAAAACCCACCAATCAATCCTACGTTAATTGCTCCGTGGGAAAGAATCAAAGCTGAGATCAATAGGTTAATGTCTATTTTTGGCTTCTAGGTTACGATGCTCTTCATTTTTTTATCGTATATTTTCTTTCTATCAATCTTCTGATCATTCGGCTTTATTTCACTGATTTTGTTTCCAAAAACCAGCCACCTAAGCCTTTTTAAAGATTTAGAATCCTGATTGTCTCAATTTATTTCACTGATTTTGCTTTATTTCACTGATTTTGTTTCAATAAACCAACCACTTAAGCCTTTTGATTTAGAATACTGATTGTCTTAATTTATTTCATTTATTTTGCTTTGAAGAAGCAAAAGTTCATATCATTGGGCAATGGCACGTTTCAGGTTGATCGGTCTTTGATTCAAGTGTTGGTTTTTTAGAGAGAGAGAGAGAGGAAGAAATAGAGCCAATGGTAGAAGAATCGAAGCATACCCAATATCAATGGATGACAACTGAGCAATCCTCGAGAGTGGAAATTGACGACACCGTTACGTTGATGTCGGAATCCATAATCTTGAGAGAAGGAATGGAAGCTTCTCCTTCTCCTTCTCCTCGGCAGCCTCAACATTTGAATAACAACAGGACATCTGATGGCAAATTGGGGTTGCCGGAGCGAGCCTTCTCTGCCGCCGGTGCTGCGTTCCTTTCGGCCATTCTAGTCAACCCACTTGACGTTGTCAAGGTATTTTTCATTAATCTCCTTCAACGTTTAGTTTTTAATTGCTTTCTTTCCTCTAGGTTTGATGTTTACCCGTTTGGGTTTCGTTCTATATTTGCAGGTACAGATTAATCTTTTGTATTTATCTCAAGTGGCGTTATTATGTAAATGTTGAAAATGTCTTCGATTCTTTATATTTTTCTTTCTGTAACTTGATTAGAATTGATGGAAGAGTGTATAGTTTTAGTCATTTTTTTTGGTTTGCTAAAAGTATTTGATCACGGTTCTAATACACCCGGCATAGTTTTAGTTAGGTGGTTGCTTCTTATTAACTTTAATTGTTTTATGTGGAATTTCATCTTAGACAATTTTGCTATTTTTGGTTACATTTCTTTGCTTTAAGGAAATTGCTTCTGTGAATTTTTGGATGTTAACTATCCATATTCTTTCGTTCTATTTTGCAGACAAGATTGCAAACACAGGCTGCTGGAGTTCCTTACTCGCATCCACTGAGCAATCTTACGAGTCGCATGGCAGTTTTCGGACCAAATATGGTATGTGTACAATTTGTTGTGCTTTTGTTTGGGGAAAATCAATGTGTTTCAGATTTACAACAATTTTCATCTTTGGACTGTTGGGAATGGGGTTGCTTTGATAGTTTGTACAAGTCTTTTTGTTTCACTAATGACTACTATTCCAGACATGTCATTGCATGGGATTATTTGGATTACAAAATCAAACTAGATTATAGGGTAGGATTTGATAAGTAATAGTCAACAAATTGGGATTCATTTAGTAGCACATTTTTTCTTCCATTTGAACTCATTTCAATAATTCTTTTAGTTTCTTTAATAGGTGCAATTGATGCAGCTCGTCAACGATAAATATTTAGAACTAGGAATCCAAATCAAACTTTAGTCTAGGGTATCACATTCATTTCCCTTCAATTTTTTTTTTTGTTTCTACTGATTTCCTGTTGGGTTATCATTTATTGGTTTGGCCCCTCAATTCATTTCGCCAGGTCCATTATGCCAATTTGTTATTGGTGCAATGCTGTGTAACAGTAATACATGGATACATTGGGTATGTAACCCTCATGAGACGTGCTTGTTTCCATTGGCTTTGATAAAATTTTGCATATTTGAGAGTAAGAATAACTATAACAATGGTCATTAAGATTCTTCTCTTTGACCTTAAATTGCTCACAAATTTTCCAAATTTTCCAAGAGGCATATGAGGTGCAGATTATGAGTTTTAAGTCATTCCCAGTGGTATTGCCCCCTCTTGAGTGTGGATGATAGAATTGCATGTGTTTGGGAGGATAGGTCTGGTGCTCACATGGGCTCAATTATCTTAGTGTTTGGACCAGAAAAATACCAACTTCACATCAATTTGTTCTTTGAGACTGCATCTATTACCTAGAGTTTGTGAAAGTACAAGCAAGCTTCTTAGTTCTCGTACTCAAGTTTCATATTGAGCTGTTACTTGTAAGTTACTCTGCAGTCCTACCATTTTTGATGTCGTATCTGTTCCGTACTTATTTTGCCTTCTGCAATATATTTGTTCAGATGTTTGCAGATCTAAGGTGTTCTCCGTCATGTGCCCGAGCTGGCGTTCATGGCACCGTAGCAATTTGCCCTCCTGATTGTTTCCAGTATAAAGGAACACTGGATGTCTTCTACAAAATAATCCGACAGGTTGGTGTATTTGTGCAGTCATGATCCTGCATATCTATAGTTTATCTTATGTGACAGGTAATATTTTCAGATGTTGATATGGTCCATCCAATATGGATGCGGGATCGAAATCTTCCAGGCATTTTAATTGTTACTTGGTTGCTCATTTGCATTTTTTTGGCATAATAAGTATATAGGTTCCATGATGTTGAAATCCTCATCTTTGTCTTGGGTGTCACTACAATTGTTTTTAGAGGTTTAACATGGATCATTTTTTGCAGGAAGGATTTGCAAGGTTATGGAGAGGCACAAATGCAGGCCTAGCACTGGCTGTACCCACTGTAAGGTTTTTTCGGTGATTCAGGCTTGGCTTCGTATTTGTAGAACGCAATTTGATGATATTTGGGTGTAAATTACTTTGTTTTGACACATTGTGGGAAACCTTGTTATGTAAACAGGTGGGTATCTATCTGCCTTGCTATGATGTTTTCCGTAACCAGTTAGAGGAATTCACTGGACAGAATGCTCCAAGCATGTTGCCTTATACCCCTTTAGTAGCAGGCTCATTGGCACGATCATTAGCTTGCACAAGCTGCTACCCTATTGAACTTGCTAAAACTCGCATGCAGGTACTTGGTTTATTCCTTTTGAAGCACTTATAATTTCGAACAAAGAATGATGAAAGTAAAGTGAAAAAAGGAAAATAACAAGAAAATATATTTTTCTTCGGGTACATTTGTTTAGTGGGATAATGGAAGAAAATGTAAGAAAGGGAAATTTTTAAAATTTTGATGTGTTTAGTTAGTATGAAATGGAAAATGATGGAAAAAATAATTTTTTTTTATACTTGAATTTTTGCATAAATAACTAATTTTTTTTTCTTGTAAAAAATACAAGAAAATGCAAGAAAGTTGTGATCTATAACTAACTTCTCATTTTATCTTTATTTTTCTTAAAATATTTTATTGGTTATTAATTTTAAAAATTCTTGGTATAGATTTGGTTAACCATATAATATGGCCCAAAAACTTTCATGCCGGTGCTTGTCCTAGAATTAGGTTAAGATCCATTTTTTAAAATTTTTTTAACAATCAATTATAATACATGTTTTTTTTCTTCTTTTGATTGATTTAATATAATTAAGGGTAATTTAGACAATTAGAAAAAAATTCTTGTAATTTTCCTTTCTCTCAAACAATAAAATGAATTTTTTTAAAATTTTCTCATAAATTTTTCGTGCTTACTAAATAAATGCATAAAAATATATTTTCTATCCTTTTTTTTTATTTCACTCCACGTTCTATCATTTTCACTTCCCTTTCTTTTAATTTCTTGAGATGAAATTTATCAAGAAAGTTGTAGAAAAATGCTTGGTAGTTTGGAATGACATCTATTTTGTTTTTCAAAACCACTTAAATTCTTTGCATGGAATCCTATTCAGCGTCAAAGAAAATTATCCAGATCAGCACTCTAATCCTAACCATCTGACAGTGGAAAATTATCCAAAGTTCTGCTCAAACTACCGTAGTGTAGACCCAACACTAAACTCACCAACCCAGCAAACTTGCCTTTCTTCTCCAGTACTGGCGACTTTACTGATTCACTCTCCAGTCCATCCATCCAAACACCATCAAGCTCTCCCCCAATTCGCTCCTTCTTCATTGCGTTATCTTTGATCTTTGCTTCATGCTGCTGACCTGTCTTTTGCTTGGGATGAGCCAATTTTCTTGTGGTCTCCTGTTTGGGGTTTCGTGAGAGAAGGATAGGGGAATACCTTGACTTGATTGCAAGCTCTATGAAGGTTCCTTTGCTTCCTCTCTTTTGGATTTGTTCTCTGAATGAGTTGCCTTAGGGGCCTAGCTTGACTTCCTTTTCCCGTGGGGAAAAATATTTTTTATACTTTGGCCATGTTAAAAAAACCCTAGCTTGCTTCGGCTCTTACTACGATTTTGGTTTTTTTTTTTGTTTTCTTGCTCTAGAGTCCATGCAGCTGATCTGTGAGGTTTCAACGTGGGATTTTGATTTCAGACTTGGATTTTGAATAGGGGCATGTTGTTTTGACAGCTTGGGTGGATATGTGTTTTGTTGCTTTGAGATGGGATCAGCTTGTGATCTTGAGTTGGGTATTTCCTTTCTGGTTGCCAATTCCTGGTTTTGAGTTAACTATTGAGAGTTTTGGACATGAATTTTCACAATTTAAGTGGGATTTGTGCAATGAAGCAACTGAGAAGTAGGTGTTGTGCAGAGAGCCATGGGCCAAATGGGAAGGGTGATTTTCTGTCTTTCTCTTTTGTTATACGTAGTATTATTTTGCTCTTTTCTTTGCGACCTTAAATGATTGCAACTGTTTAAAATGATTGAGCTAGTCTCTGCCCTCTCGCGATCTTCTGCACTTGTTTTCAGATTTGGTACTGGTTGTTTCCTTATCTTTTTTTCCTTTTATATTTTTTTCTCTTATTTTTTATTCATTTCATTTTGTATGTAGGCATTCAAGGAGATTCACAAGGGTAAGAAGCCTCCTGGTGTCTGGAAGACATTAATGGAGGTTATTCCCCATGTCAAGAGCACAACTAACCTTCAGAACAACTGTAAGTTATTTCTTATTTTGATACCGGGCTTGAAAGTTCTATAATTTCTACTTATGTTACCCCTCTATAGGCTGGAGCCTAGTGCAGTATGACCTTTATGTTATATTTGTATGTGAGGACGGCACATGGTTAAATAGTCACCTGGGCTTTTTAATCATCAATATAGTTAATCATAAAAAATATTATTTGGTCTTCATCTTCATGAGTCATGGACTTTTCGAGAAATTTTACAAAATATGTTGCAGCATAGTCATATAGGTTGAATTATTTTTGCATCCATAAAGTAGGGTTGGCCAGAATCATTTGCCAGTTTTTGTAGTGTGTCTGTAAATTTACGGAACAGCCATCTAAGAAAATATTTGTCATATTAAACTGCACTATCTTTTGCCAATATTTAGTGACATGTATTCTCTATCATCTCAGCGTATTGTTTCTAGTAAGGATTTCTATTATGAGCTCTTGAATTTAATTGGCGTTGTATTTATCTGTTGCAGTGCAAAGCTACCGTGTCCTATGGACGGGCCTTGGGGCACAGCTCTCTCGTGATGTGCCTTTCTCTGCTATTTGTTGGTCGACCCTTGAGCCGGTTAGATTTTATTCTTCAAAAATGTAGTGTAGTTCTAGCTGTGATTGTATTTAATATGATTTAGTTTTATTTTTTCAAATATTCTGTACAGATGAGAAGACGACTTCTTGGTCTGGTGGGTGAGGAAGCCAATGCAGCCAGTGTGCTTGGTGCAAATTTCTCTGCTGGTTTTGTTGCAGGAAGCCTTGCTGCTGCTGCTACATGTCCACTTGATGTTGCGAAAACCAGAAGGCAAATTGAGGTTTATTCTCAGGGCTAGACTCATCTTCACCTTTTTTTTGCAAGTTTTGATGTGTCAAGTTATATAAAAGAAATCACCAACAGGTTTTGTTACATGCTACTATCATTGACCATACCAGTAGAATCAGTGTTTATCCTCCCTACTCCATTTTGTATCGTCTGCATTCTGCTTTCCTAGTTTGCTGTGGTAAATAAAGCAGACTGACTTTTGAAACATAATCTCCCCCCCCAAAAAAAAACAAAAAAAAAATTGCTTCCTCAATGCAACTGTTATCTTTTTCCTCAAGTGGTATCTTCTTCTACTCTAGGGGGAATAATGAAAGGTTTAAAATGTAGTTGGAGCATGTTGCTAATGTAAGCATTTATTGAAGATAGTAGTCTGTGATTTTTATTAAATTTGACAACTAAAGCCAGAATCTTATGTCTAAACTGGACTTCTTTTATTCTAAAATATTCTGTTTTTTTATCCTTGCTTGTTTTACAGAAAGATCATGCCAGGGCATTGAGGATGACAACGAGACAAACGCTGATGGAGGTTTGGAGGTAGATCTTTATATTTAATTACCAGTTATCCTTAGAAAGCCAATATATTATGCAGGCAATCAAAATAGAGAGTAGACATGAAATGGTTTACTTATAAATTCATTCATTACTGATGAATATGATGGGTGCGTGGAAGCACTATCACGATATAAGTAATGTATTGTGTAACTGGAATCCTAACTTGTCTTTGCAAATATTGTTCTATCTTGTACATTGTTTGATGAAAAAATAGTGTCCCGTTTGTCAAATTTCAGACGCGCGTATTTGAGGGGCCAACTATGTATAACCTAAAAACCCCAACCCCGGCTTTAGCAATAGCTGCTGGAGAAAGAAGCGACTCACCCATAGGGAAATGATAAAACTAGGCTCTTACGCAATTAGTAGGAAACAGAGGAGCAACCTACTCTTACCTTTAGGATCGACCAATAACAACCTATTCTCTTACACAAATTTGCAAATTTCATATAATCTTTGTTAATTGCTGCTAAATGAATCTTGAATTAGAATTTGTTCCTGTTGCAGGGATGGCGGGATGAAAGGACTATTCACGGGTGTTGGTCCTCGTGTTGGCCGTGCAGGACCTTCTGTGGGCATTGTGGTTTCGTTTTATGAAGTTGTGAAATATGTTCTGCATCATCAGTATGCTACTTAATGATAATATTGTGGAAGCTGCTCAAACCCATATGTGGAGGTAGACCCACTTCTTCGTGGTATAACCGTACCATGGCCTCGTATTTAGTATACACACGCATACAGATGAGCGGTTTTGTTCATGGTAAATGCTCATCACAACACCACATAGCACAGGAAATACTCTCTCTTCTCTTTTTCCACCACTTCTGGTGCCTGTTTAGTTGTAGTTCAAGTTTTAGATGCAGAAGAGATTTTGACACATTGTGTTGCAATCAATTTTTACCGAGTTAATCTCAGTTTTTCTTAATTTATCTTTTCTAATTCTTATTGTCGATTGCTTTGGGGATATTGATGGACCATTAATTTTTGAAGTGTTTGTGAAAAACTTTATCTAATGGGTAATCTCTCAAATGGGTGTTCTATCTTCACGATGTCCCTCAATTGCATAACTGCATTACCAACGGTATCAGGAACCCCATCTACATCTACATCTACAATAAAACTTGTTCTTGGTGTTAAGGGTGACAATTTTCTACACGATCCATTACATTGGTGAGAACTCAGAAAGGAAGAAATCAAAAGGTAAGTTTGTTTGATTCTGAGACGATAAATGTCTAAGTGGGGTTACAGGAAGAAAATCTGTTTTTATTATTTGTTTCGTTGTCTTGTAAGGTATGAATTATTACAGAATTAAAATTATCATTTGATTTTCTAAAAATGTGAATCGCCAAGGTTTTTTTTGGGAAAATTTTAGTCACATTCTCTCTAATTTATTATATTTTAATGGATATTTCTTCTATTTTTTAAATTTTCATTGACATTTAATGTCAAATGTTTTAGAAAAAATTTCATCCATATCTTGTATAGATAGGTATATTTTTAATAAGAGTCTCTCTGTTTTATAAATTTTTTTAAGTATTAAAATTAGGATTAATTAATTTTTTTAACTTGTATTGAATTTTAATTGTCTTGAATTTTAATATGTAAAAAAATATAAATTTTAATCGAATCTAATATAAATACATAAAAAATTATTATTTTTTTATTTAATCTTCTCACCTGAAGCAGAAGATTCTGTTTGGCGATACTCGAACGCTTTAACTCAAAAAAGTTTTGATAAAGAAAGTACCTCAAAAAAGTTTTGATTGTAATTAGGGGTGTCGAGCGTCTTAGATTAAACGGTTATGTATTGGATAAAAAAAATATAAATTCATATACGACATATTTAATAAACAGATAAAAAATTTCAACACGAGCACAACCTGTTTAATAAACGGGTAATACGACATGACAAAAAATTATATTAACAAATTTTAATACTCTATTTTTTTTTATTGTCAATTGCAATTACCTTAAAAAAGAAAAAATTTTAATCAAATTTTATAAAAATAAGACTTGAATGCTTAAAAAAAAAAAGGCAAGAGGTCATTGCCTTTTATAGGTAACTCAGCCCTCCCCATCTCCCCTCATTTTTCAATGTGGGATAAAAATAAAAGACATTTGTTTGTTTTTGTTTTTGAAATGCTCCCCATCTTATCTCATTTGTCTTTGAAGTGCTCCCTATCTTATCTTATTTATTTTTGAACTACTACTTTACTTTTTTTTTATTGATTTATTTACTTTTTTTTCTTGTTAATTTTTTAAAATAATTATTAATTTATTATTATATTAATTTTATTTAAACGGGTAAATGTGTGATAAACGGTTTGACATGTCTCACCCGAACACAATCCGTTTATATAATATAGATTCATCTTTACTTTTTCATATAGGTATAAACATAGATATGAAAAATTTTATATAAGTGTATTACTTATAAAGGAGTCTAAAATAATTTAGTAGTCAAATACTACTTATAAAAGAGTTCAAAAAAACTTGAAAGTCAAATTACATATAAAAACAAATTTTATACGAAGGTTATAAGGACATAATTAATTTTATAAAAATTATACTAGTAATTCATGACGTGTATTACAAGTGAACATATTTAATAATAATTGTTTGTTAAACTTAAAAAAATATAGATTATATGTATAATTGAATTGAATAAATAAATTATGTATCAAAGAATTAATTCTTATTTTAATATTTACTAAACCTAGTTATTAGTTTGTCTATACGTGTATTATAAAGTAATTTGAGTTATATAAAATTACTATTGTAATTAAAGACCTAAAGTTATAATAATAAGTAGAGCAAATAATTAGAAACCTAATGCTATATGACAAAAAGAGTTTTGAAAGAAAATGAAAGGAAAAATGATGACATTAATAAGGATATATAGGGTATGATTGACTTAACATTATTAAATAAAAATAAAATAAAAAATTAATTGTTTTTTTCACATATCCTGACATTTATAAGTGGAATACATAGATATAGATAGATTATTAATTAATGTTCATACTTGAAGGACCTATGTAACTCAAAAAATAAAATCATTATTCTTTGCTTTTTGTCTTATTTTAAATTAAAATCAAGTGGTGCCCAATAAATTTCAAAATAACTTAATGCTAAATAAGTCTTAATGGCTTATATACGATACGAATTCAACAAAATTATTACTCGTTATCAACCTCAATTTCAATGTTCTCATTTGTAAGCTTTTCATTGTGAAAGTTGTAATTACTATTCTAAAAAGTCCAGGATGAATGATTTTTCGCATTTTTTAGGTTGACACAAAACCTAATCATACACAATACAAACTTGATAAAATAAAATATGGACTCGACAATAAATAGTTTGAATATAAACTAAAGAATTTAGATATAAAATGACGTAAACTCTACACGAACCCAATAAGATACATCTCACTATCAACATCAAGTCATTCAAGTTCTAAATACATTCAATACTTCTTTTTGTTTTCTTATCAAAATAATTCAAAAAAAAAAAAAAAATCTACAGTGGAGGATTTTCCCCATTTTATAAACCCGTCACATTCACTTTTTTTTAAAAAAAAAACCTAATATCAACCCAACTTGTTGTTTGCTATTTTCATAATAATTCCCACTAATCCCATTGAGAAATCTTATAATTCCCGATAATCCCACTAATTCCCACTAATCCCATTGAGAAATTTTATAATTCCCACTAATCCCACTGAGAATCTTATAATTCCCACTAATCCAACTGTGAAAAAAATAGCTTTTAGTAAAGTAATTGATGACAGGTTGGAATGTTCTTTATCCTCCAAATAATATACCTTGACATCCACAAATAGGATATTTGTACACATATTTTACATGAACATAGAGACAAACCAGACTTTTTTTTTTTTTTAATCGTAACGAAAGCCTATATAGCTCAAGTTGAGTTGAAATTGACTCGAATTTTAACATGTGAAATTTTTTTTAATAACCTTCAATTTTAATATGTAAGAAAAATAAAATTTAATTAGTTCGAACAGAATTTTCTTTGGTTTAAATTTTAATATGCAGAAAAATAAATTTTAATCAGTTTGAATTTTAATATATAAAAAAATAAATTTTAATCGGTTCGAATTTTATGTAAAAAGATTGTTTGAGATTTATGTAGGGATAGTTTTAGTATTTTATATAAATTTTTTTTTTATTAGAAATAGTGGTGCAACGGCGGGGAGTGTCAGTGATGTTTAAATATAAAATAGAAAGGATATCAATGATGTTTTGAATATGATAAATTAATAAGATTTGGTTGAAATTATCCCTTTTTAAAATTAATATGTGGAGAACAAGGTGGATTCTATTCAGAAAAAGATGTATTAAGCTATTTGATACTGGCCAGATCTTGTGGAATGTTACTAGATTTTGGGTAAACCCATGTGACCTATTAACTGTAACGTCAATGGGAACTTCTTCCATTGGCCCCTCCCTTAGAAATAAACTAAGCACATTTTTAATTTATAAGAATTTAAAGTTAATGCACGGGAGGATTCTTACAATCGTATGAGACAGCGATCCCTAACTTGTAATTTTTTTTTAAAGTGTAAGTTACAACTTTCAAAAGTATGCATGGTCGATCATGAAAAGTTGTATAAGAAGAGGCAAGAAGCAGAAAAAGCAGCACAACCCTAATTGCATAATAAAGTAGCTCAGAAGTTAGATTCATGGCAGATGCTAAAGCCAGCAACTCCACCGTAGAAGGAGACCTTGAAACGGCATCTAATGGTTCCGACCGACGCAGCACACATATTGAACGAATGGATATCATACACAGATCCTTGAGTTTTAGTGATATATACCAGACTCCTATAAACAAACCTAAGGTATGTTTTTTGTTGAATTTTTTTTTCCTTCTTATTTTACGCATGCATATCAGTCCAGGTAATACAACTTAAGTTTGAATCTTGAAATCAACCACTTTAAAATACGAGTAAAGTTGTTACTTATCTCTCTTAGACCCCTTGTAGGAGAGAGTCTCGGGCACTGTACTCCAATATTTTTCCCTCATACTCACCTTAAGCGGATGGTTGATCAATCGGTGAAGAAGCAAGAGGGACTTTGAATGTAGCTTTCAAAGCTCCATCTTCCACATTAAAGTAGCCTGAAAGTGTGTGTTGACATATTGAGAAACGATAAGAAAGAAAATGGGCTGGGACTGAGATATATTTAAGTGGTGGAGTTTCCATTCCAAAGTACTTGGAATCCAAGACTTGCTGCATTGAGTTTGGGTTCATTTGATTACTTTACGGTAGTTAATAAGTAGTTAGTAGCAAGATTCCACTAAAGATGACAAGATCTTCCTCTCGCTACAAAAAATTTGGGTTTTTTTCGACATGAGAGTTTTCCTGACGCCAGAATATACGGCGTATAAACCAAACACCGAGAATGATTTTTTCCGGTGGTTGTTCAACTTTTGCCTGCTTTGCTAAATTTTTTTGCTGTGTCTTATTAGAAGATTCACATAAGTCCATCGAAACATTAACAAAAGTCCAATTTAAGAAGAATTCCAACATTTTACTAAGAGGAAGATTTGATTCTCTCTCTCTCTCTCTCTATGATCTTCAGGAATATCCTACACTGCAAACATGGATGCTGGCATACCAAGCTCTGGGAGTTGTATACGGAGACCTGGGAACCTCCCCTGTCAACACTTTCTCTTCCACGGCCATCACAAACCTTAATGAAGACGACCTAGTAGGTGTCCTAAGCCTCATCTTTTGGACTATGACATTACTCTGTCTGGTCAAATATGTGTTCATAGTTCTTCATGCCAATGATCATGGAGAAGGTGGTACCTTCGCTCTGTACTCGATTATCCGGCGACATATAAGTTTTCACAGCAGACTCACGTTTCAGAACACAAGGTTGGAGTCCGTTGGAAATCTGACGTCTTACCGGCCTCAGGGGAGTTCTCTCCGATCAAAGACTAAGAAGTTCTTAGAGAGAAGCACTGTTGCTCAGAATCTTCTTACTTTTGTTGTGTTGCTTGGAACTTGCATGGTCATTGGCGATGGGGCACTCACTCCTGCAACTAGTGGTAAACTTCCAGTTTTATCACCAACACACACACATACGCACGCTTATTACTTATATATTTATAGGTTTTATGAGACAGTGACACTACGATGCTAAGTGGTTTGGTGTGTTTCTTCATATATATATATATATATACACATAATTGATTTGTTCTTGCAGTTCTTCCAGCTCTTCAAGGATTAACCCAATCAGGAACCTCAAAAATAACACAAGGTACCCTTGTTTCTAAGTTCTCTAATAGGCAACAATATATTTGATAGTTATTTGACAAAGAGTAAACTACATACTAGATTTTCAAACTATAACTCTTATATCAATTAAGTTGAACATTTTTTTTTTGGTCAATTGAGTTCCGCAACTATTTACTTATATCAATTGAGTCATTCTGTCTGCATTCGTTAGATTTTTTAATAGAAAGTGAAATAATGTACTACTCACGTGATTGAGTTGTAACTTATTTGTGTCACGTGAGCGTCACACTTCTTTACTTTCCGTTAAATTGCTTGACAAAGGCTGATAGAAGGGCTCAATCGACAGAAATAAAAAATTCAATAACTAGATTGATACAAAAAAAAAAAGTTCAAGAGATTAATTGACACAAAGTTCATAATTTGAGGTTCATATATGTAATTTACTCTTTGACAAATATAGAATCAGAACAGACCCAAATAAAAAAGAAAAGCATAAAATATAGAACAAAATGTAAGGTCAAGCGATTAGAGACTAGAGAGGATAGTCCCTCACGCAAACTACTGGGTAATGATCTATGTTATGTAGGACTTGGATTCGATGGAAGTAGTCAACCATATAAAAAGTTAAATTAAACAAAATATGCTTAAGAAATATTGCCAAACGATACCTTAATCTTGACTGGACCATGAGCCATAAAAAGCAACTAAACTTTAAAATAAAAAGGACCAAAATAGAGCAACTGACATTTGATTTCCTCGACCAGAATTCTATTTTTATACTGTTCTGTCAACTATCGTGTTCCTAATATGGAATTTACAACTATATTATTGATTTTATATTACCCCGATAATTAACATCTGTTATAAATTTAATTTAAAACTATTTTATTTTGCCTCAGACTATTTTCACGTTACCTCAGGCATATAGACAATTTTCATTCACAAGACTACGGGCTTTTGGAATTGGGACATTGCGAAATCAATTCAAGTAGTTAGGGGGAATGTAAAAAATTCAATAATTCAATGGCCAAAGTAAAATTGATTCCATTATTAAAAAGGGGTCAAAGTGTTATTTTCCGAAAAAAAAAAAAGTTAGAGATGCTTCGAAAACTCACTCAGGTGTTCTGGTTATTGTTGTTGCAGACCAGATTGTTTTCTTGGCGGTTGTTGTTCTAATAATCCTCTTCGCCTTCCAACGTTGTGGAACTAGTAAAGTCAGCTTCGCATTCTCTCCAATTATGCTGTTGTGGTTTGTTACAAATGCTGCAATCGGAATCTACAATATCTTCAGACACCAACCATCCATTTTGAAGGCAGTGTCACCTCACTACGGCTTTCAAATCTTCTCACGCAATGGCAAGATTGGTTGGGATCTCCTCGGTGCAGTGTTCTTGAGCATAACAGGTAAATAATTTCTTGGTATTGGGGTTGAAGTTGATAACCGATCATATTTTATCGAGCCCGTATCATGTTATATTAAAATGTATTCAATTCATTTTTGATCCATTTTGTCTTACAAAGTCTAATTAGTATGGCGTATACTTCATAGATGGTTCATGTCATGTCTAGTCGGGTTTATTTCTATGCATGAAATTGTCAATGCATAGAAATCACAATGACAAAAATCTTTCCAACTTCCATAGTAAAAAGAGAGACTCATTGCCAATCTTTTGTAAATTATGGGACAGGGGTTGAGGGCATGTTTGCTGATATGGGTCATTTCAACAAGAGAGCCATTCAAGTAAGTTTTCTCAAACCATTAGAATAGGTTAACTAGGTTGAGAATTCTCTGTTGTTTAGTGGTGGTGGTGTTGATTAAAACAGCGTTGTTTTAACAGCAGATGAGCCGGATCCAGTTAACTAACTCTGATTCCTGTTTAAAATTGTCTGTAATTTCATTGGACTATATGGCTTCGTGCAGTTCTCTTACTCTTTCATCGTCTATCCGGCTATTGTCCTGGCTTACGCCGGCGAGACAGCCTATTTAATCAAACACCCTGATAAAATCGCCGACGCCTATTATAGTTCCCTTCCAAAACACGTGTACTGGCCGATGTTCATTCTCTCCAACCTCGCCGCCATTGTTGCAAGCCAATCCATGATATCTGCGTGTTTTTCTATAGTAAAGCAGTCTCAAGCTCTGGGTTGCTTCCCCCGGGTTCATATAATTCATACATCTTCAAAGCATGACGGACAAATCTATTGCCCAGAGATAAACTACACTCTCATGATTCTATGTATTGGACTTGTCATTGGGTTTAGAGATGGTGTTGCTCTAGCAAATGCTTACGGTAAGTCTCCTTCAGTGATCTTTTCTTGATTACATTTCGGAGAAGGGAGACTTGTTACTAGGTATCGCATTATAAGAAATTAAAGTTATGGGTGACAACCGCGTGGAGTTAAATGGTTACGAGTCGAGTCTAATTGAATTCGTGTGGATATCAGTAAATTCATACACAATTCGTTTAAATAAACGGGATGAAAATTTTTAAACCGAAAACGATTCATTTATTAAGCGGTTATACGATATGACTCGTTTAACCCGTTTAATAAACGAATCATGTTAACACGATTACCCTTTTAACTCGCCACTCTTTTGTCATTAAAAATGTTGTAATTCACTAAAAAATTTATTATTAAACTTTTTTAAAAAAACTGATTTAATTAATAACTACATATATTATTTTGGCTCATTTTTTTAATCATTATATTAATTATATTTAAACGGATTGATATGTCTCACACGAATATGACCACTTTAATAAACAGGTCTGATGTGTGCACCCATTTATCACCAGAACTTGATAAAACCTCACCCAACCCCTTTAACTACGTGTGAATTCGTGCCATTTAGTAGTGTGGTGTTGAATTTTGACAAATCTAGTTATTGTAACCTCAGATATTCAAAAATAGAACGATAGTCATTTAAATCAACCCCTTTTTGTTTGGTTGGGCCTGGTAGGTGCGGTTGTGATCTGGGTGATGATCATTACAACGTGTATGACAACGTTGGTGATGCTGCTCGTTTGGGACACACATGTTCTTCTCATACTAATGTTTTTCGTGCCCTACATACTGATTGAAGGTGTCTTTATGACATCCTTGCTCACCAAAATCCCACAAGGAGGATGGGTTCCATTTGCTATCTCAGCTTTCTTCTTGACTGTCATGTTCTCTTGGTTATATGGAAGGAGTAGGAAGAGTGCATATGAAGCCGAGAGGAAGATGAGCTTGGGTGAACTGAACCAAATGCTAGCAAGAAATAGGTTTTATCGAGCACCCGGGACTTGCTTCTTCTATACTGATCTTGTCAATGAAATTCCACCCATCATCCGGCATTACATTCAGCACACAAGTTCTGTGCATGAAACCATGGTGATTGTAACTTTTAGAACACTCCCAGTGAAAAAGGTTCTACCAGAGGAAAGGTTTAATGTTGGAAAACTGGGTGGTGAAGGGGTTTATAGATGTTTGGTTCAGTTTGGTTACAATGATTCACATAGCGTTGCAGTTGCCGGAGATGAATTAGTTGCTTCAGTGCTGGCAAAACTCAAAGAGCACGCTGAATCCACCGACGAAATAGAAAGACTAGATTCAGCAGCAGAAAAGGGAGTTGTTTTTGTTATAGGCCGGACAATTCTGAAGACAAACCTGAACAGTGGATGGTTTGTTCGCTTCATAATAGATTACCTCTACAGATTTCTGCAGAAAAACTGTAGGCCTGAACTTTCCATACATGAAGTCCCACCGGGAAAGACCTTGCAAGTCGGAATGCTTTATGAAACTTAGTAGGCAAATTGCAGAGAATTACCGGGGGTTTGCAGCTTGTTCGAGCCTGAATTCATAGAGCAAGATCTAAAGTGGTCTGGCTGTGCATCTGTCTTTTGGCAAGAGTCTTATTTTGGTTATTGCTCTTGCTTACCTGTTCTTTTTGTTTTCTGCTGTTTCAGAAAGGAAAATAGAACTACTTGTGTAGACAAATATGATATGGAAACAATGCTTAGTTTAGGAGATTAAATTACATATGCAAACATTCAGAAGTAACATGTGTTTTTCCCTCTTTTAAAGGGCATATCAGGGACCCTTCTTTTGTCCGGTTCGGATCAACCGACAGATCAAACTAATTCACAAATAGAATGGGAACACCAAAGTATTTGAAAGAGTAATACTTCCCTTGTCCTTAGACATAAGATGATATTCTTAGCCCATGACATACTTCTGGGCCCAGCTCCTTGTAGTAGTTTCATACTTTGTTTCTGTCTGTCTTGTACGTGTGAGCAATCTGTGGCACCAAGGGATCATCAGGGTTTGGGCCCGTCAACAAAGAACTGATTGACAGCAAAACCTGTAAATGCAAAAAGTTAAAGATTTTGGTCCACTTACATATAAATACAAGCAATCAACCTTCACACCAGTGTATGTATCATTTTGGGAGCATTAAAAACCTAACTAGCAAAGCAATAAGCAAGAGATACAAGGACAGGGTCAGTCCCTGGTGAGCTCCAGATCTTGGAATGGATAATACCCCTGATTAGAGCCCAGAGCACAAACTAGGGCAATAACATGTGATCTACCAAGTTTTCAGGGTGTTTATGTCGGGAATATCACCAACTGGAATTCAATATTGTTGTGAATTCTTTGTGGTGGCTTAGTCAAATTTCCCATGTTAGATGTCTGACGTTTAGGATGAGAACCTTGGAAATGGTTAGGGCAGGGCTCCACTGTTCCTTCGAGATGTCAAGGCATATGCTTCCATTGCTATTGATATTTGGGCGAAAAACCTTTGTCCTGAATGCAACCTGCACGTTTCATCCACATGAAAACACAAGAAATGTCGAGTTTAACTTTCAACAGTAGAATCAAAAGATTATTGAAACAATGGAATATCGAGCAAAAAACACATGGAACAACCATAATAACATTCCTTACGTGGTTCATATTTTGGTTAAACCCATAGCTAAAAAAGGGCAACCTAATGAACAAGACTCCCGACACTGTAGGATCGGGAAGGATTTGATGTATACAGTTTTCATCTTCATGCAAAGAGGTTGTTTCTGTGTAGGAGTATAGTTCCCTAACGTGGCAGTCATAATACAGCATGCAAGAGGGTTAATGGACTAGAAATGAACTAATTTAAGTAAATGATATTAGGAAGCCTATATTTTGTTTTGGAGCAGGGCAATGAATATCCTTTGGACCCTCTTCAAAAAATAAAGAAACTATCTAACTTCAGAAGACATATGCAAGCTGGTCCATACAAGAAGGTGAGATTGCTTCAAGTCGAGCTACTCAAAGCATGTGATGAACTAAAATGAGCTCTTAATTCGTCAATAGTTGATTGTGAACGAGTTATACATAACACTACGTTGACCAAATATTGGGGCTAAATTAAAAGCTCAAATGACATAACATTTGACTTGGGCTTCTTTATTTGATGTCATGTCATTTGGGCCCCAATGACGACTCCAAATAATATGCTGTCATGTGATACTAGTTTCTTATGTTGTTCTTGGGGCACAACTATAAAGTTTCTTCGGAAGAAACAAATCGTAACTGCACCACTGTAGGAAAGTGGGGAGAAGCTTAAGGAACGAATTCACTCAGACATTGCAACCAACACTTTACCGACCCTTAAATGCTAAATCCATTCTAATTATTTTAACATTAAATTGCACTATGTTTTGCCAATATGTAGTGACATGTATTCTCTGTCATCTCAGCGTATTGTTTCTATTAAGGATTTCTATTATGAGCTCTTCAATTTAATTGGCGTTGTATTTATCTGTTGCAGTGCAAAGCTACCGTGTCCTATGGACGGGCCTTGGGGCACAGCTCTCTCGTGATGTGCCTTTCTCTGCTATTTGTTGGTCGACCCTTGAACGGGTCAGTTTTTATTCTTCAAAAATGTAGTGTAGTTCTAGCTGTGATTGTATTTAATATGATTTAGTTTTATTTTTTCAAATTCTCTGTACAGATGAGAAGACGACTTCTTGGTCTGGTGGGTGAGGAAGCCAATGCAGCCAGTGTGCTTGGTGCAAATTTCTCTGCTGGTTTTGTTGCAGGGAGCCTTGCTGCTGCTGCTACATGTCCACTTGATGTTGCGAAAACCAGAAGGCAAATTGAGGTTTATTCTCAGGGCTAGACTCATCTTCACCTTTTTTTTGCAAGTATTGGTGTGTGTCAAGTTATATAAAAAAAAAATCACCAACAGGTTTTGTTACATGCTACTATAATTGACCATACCAGTAAAATCAGTGTCTATCCTCCCTACTCCATGTTGTATCTTCTGCCTTCCTAGTTTGCTGTGGTAAATAAAGCGGACTAGCTTTTGAAACATAATACTTTTTGCCCCCTCAACAAAAAAAAAAATCAATATTGTGTCCCCAATGCCGCCTATTATCTATTTCCTCAAGTGGTATCTTCTTCCACCCTAAGGGGAATAATGAAAGGTATAAAACCTAGTTGGAGCATGTCGCTAATGTAGCATTTATCGGAGAAAATAGTTAAGTGATTTTTGATGGGTTAAGCCCAAATAGTCCAATTTATGTATTAAAGCCCAGCCCTGGTTGAGGAGCCCAACCTCATTGTGAATCCACCAAGTCCAAGACAGACCAAGGCCGGTTAGACTTCTTGCTTAGCACGTCACCAAGAGGAGATCACGGGAAGCTTAAGGCCGGTTAGACTTCTTGCTTAGCACGTCACCAAGAGGAGAGCACGGGAAGCTTATCTGTACCGCCTTAAGGAACAGTCCAAATCCACCAAGTCCAAGACAGCCCAAGGCCGGCTAGACTTCTTGCTTAGCACGTCACCAAGAGGAGAGCACGAGAAGCTTATCTGCACCGCCTTAAGGAAGGAAACGGTCCAATCTTTGACCACGTTTCATGAAGAGTTCCCCAACCTCTTCCTTCCGTTGAGGATAAGTCGTGATCTCCACCAAAGATAATCTCTAAGCTGCGATAAAGAAGCTTTGATGATATGTCATGATCTCCACAAAGAATGATCTCTTATCTACTATAAAATGACTCTAATCTGGGAAAGGAAAGGGACATGCTCCATCAGAGATTTACAGAAGACGAACCGACTACCAGAGATTATTATTTTTCTTTGATTCTCCATTCCCTCTCTCAAAGCTTGTATCTCCATTCTCCATACCTTTGAATCAATAAAATACCCGGCAACTGAAGCCATTGAAGAGTGGACGTAGGTCGAATTGACCGAACCACTATAAATTGTGTCTTCTCTAATTTTTTCGTTGATTTCATTGCATTTATTATCCATACTTGACAGGTGGTGTGCAAAATCATTTTTGTGCATCATCAATTTTTATTAATTTATGTAAACTAAACCAGAATCTTATGTCTGAACAGGACTTCTTTTATTCTAAAGAATTCTGTTTTTTTATCCTTCCTTTTTTTTACAGAAAGATCATGCCAGGGCATTGAGGATGACAATGAGACAAACGCTAATGGAGGTTTGGATGTAGATCTCTATAATGAATTACCAATTATCCTTAGAAAACCGGTATATTATGTAGGCAATCAAAATAGAGAGTAGAAATGAAATGGTTTACTTGTAAATTCATTCATTACTGATGAACATGATGGGTGCATGGAACACTATTACGGTATATAACTAATGTCATGTGTAACTGGAATCCTAACTTGTCTTTGCAAATATTGTTCTATCTTTTACTTTGTTTGATGAAAAAATAGAGTCCCATCTGTGAAATTTCACACTTATTCGTTTTTCTTTGCAAACTCCATATAATCTTTGTTAATTGCAGCTCAATGAATCCTGAATTAGAATTTGTTCCTGGTGCGGGGATGGTGGGATGAAGGGACTATTCACGGGTGTTGGTCCTCGTGTTGGCCGTGCAGGACCTTCCGTGGGAATTGTGGTTTCGTTTTACGAAGTTGTGAAGTATGTTCTGCATCATCAGTATGCTACTTAAAGACAAGATTGGGGAAGCTGCTCAAATCCATATTTACTGCAGCCTGCAAGGCACTTCTTACCCAAATGGAGGTAGACCTACTTCTTCCTGGTTTAATGCAACCATGGCTCTTTTTTAGTAACACACGTATACAGATTAGCGGTATTGTTCATGGTAGATGCTCATCTCAACACCACATAGCAAAGGAAATACTCTCTCTTCTCCTTTTCCACCCCTTCTGGTGGCTGCTTAGTTGTAGTTCAAGTTTTAGATCGAGAAGAGATTTTGACACATTGTGTTGCAATCAATTTTTACCCAGTTGATCTCAGTTTTGCTTAATATATCATTTCTAATTCTTGTTGTCGATCGCTTTGGGGGTATTGATGGACCATTAATTTTTGAAGTGTTTGTGAGAAACTAGAGCAAATGGGTAATCTCTGAAGTGGGTGTTCTATCTTCACGGCGTCCATCAATTGCATAACTGCATTTCCAACAGTATCAGGAACCCCATCTACCATATAACTTGTTCTTGGTGTTAAGGGTGACAATTTTCTACACAACCCATTACATTGGTGAGAATTCAAAAAGGAAGAAATCAAATGGTAATTTTATTTGATTCTGATACGATAAATGTCCAAGTGGAGTTACGGGAAGAAAATCTGTTTTTATTATTTATTTCGTTGTCTAGTATGGTATGAATTATTACAGAACTAAGATTTATCATTTGATTTTTTAAAAATGTGGATCAAATAGATTTTTTTTTGGAAAAATTTCAGTCACATTCCTTTTAATTTATTATTTCTTCAAGGACACCTGTTTTATTTTTTAAATCTTCATTGACACTAAATGTCGGATATTTTAGGAAAAATTTTATCCACACCCTCTCTAGATGAGCATATATTCAATGAGACATCATCTGTTTTATGAATTTTTTTACATATTAAAATTCGGGTCGATTAAAATTTAATTTGACTCGATTAAAATTCTTTAGCTTCCATTGAATTTTAATCGGCCCAAAATTTGATACGTAAAAAAATATAAATTTTAATCGACTCAAATTTAAATACATAAAAAATAAATTTTAATCAACTTGAATCGAATTTAAATTGACATGAATTTCAATAAGTAAAAAAAATATAAAATTTAATCCATTTGAATCGAATTTTAATTGATGCTAATAACTCAAGTTGAGTTGAAATCAACTTGAATTTTAATACGTAAAAAAAAAATTTTAATAGGCTCAAATTTTAATACGTAAAAAATATAAAATTTAATTAGTTTGAATATAATTTTAATCGGTTTAAATTTTAATATGTTGAAAAATAAGTTTTAATCAAATAAAATTTTAATACGTAAAAAAGTGAATTTTAATCAGTTCGAATTTTATGTAGAAATATTGTTTAGGATTTATGTAGGCACAATTTTAGTATTTTATATAAAAAAAAATTGTTAGAAATGATGGTTAACGGCATGGGGCATCAGTGATGTTTAAATATAAACTAAACGGGGTGTCAGTAACATTTTGAATATGATAAATTAAAAAGAATGTAGTTGAAAATTTCCCTTTTGTTTTTTAATTAATAAGTGGAGAACAAGGTGGATTCGATTCAGAAAAGGAGGCATTAAGCTTCAGGTTTCTTCTTCATTGTATTTGGAGAGTTTGAAAGCTACATGACACTACAGGCCAGATCTTTCTTGTGGAATGTTACTAAATTCTGGGTAAGCCCATGTGACCTATTAACTGTAACGTCAATGGGAACTTCTTCCATTGGCCTCTCCATTGGACATGGTGGATCTAATTATCAATTAAATACAAAGTAGATTTGACCAAGAAAATAGAGTGGCCTAATTTTGCAATTCGTGATTTACGGTTTATACGAATACAATATAGATAAAATACGATATAATTCAATTGATACCTTTAATATTCAGGCCGGTTGACATTAGTTAGTCATTTGGCATAAAGACTAAGGGCAGTTGAGTAATCCAAAGACCTACACGATGCCTTGTCACAAGTAATTAGATAACTATTAATCACTTGTCAAATCAACCCTCCAACAACCTAATTCGAGAAGTTTTTTTAATTTAATCACTCTTTTTCCATAATTAAAAAGAAAACTAGAGGATGACTAAACTGAATTTGTATGTGGTGAAGTTGGGAAATGTTATGATGCTGCCGACAGAACTGATATTAAAAATTATAATTTTTCAAAGTTAAATTATAATTTTTTTGAAGTGTATGTTATAATTTTAAAAGATATGTATGATCAATCATAGAAAGTTGACATCGATACAGAGATTTTCATGATTGATTACGTGTTTAAATTTTTTTTTTTGGGGTACGGTAGAGTTTCCCGGTGAAGTGAAAGTACTGATAAACTATGATTCTTTGAAGGATTTCATTTGTTAATTGCATTATTTGTCTAGTAATTATGGATTTGGATTGACTTAACCTGCTCTCTTTTATAATCTTTCCGCGTGCGTAATTGCACATAGGCCATCACAATTCTTTAGCATTTGATGTACCTGCTCTCTTATATTATTTGTATGGCTGTAAATGAATGTACTACATGCATAGCACTTCTTGAGACAACTTGTATAAGAAGAGGCAAGAAGCAGAAAAAGCAGCACAACCTTAATTGCATAATAAAGTAGCTCAGAAGTTAGATTCATGGCAGATGCTAAAGCCAGCAACTCCACCGTAGAAGGAGACCTTGAAACGGCATCTAATGGTTCCGACCGACGCAGCACACATATTGAACGAATGGATATCATAAACAGATCCTTGAGTTTTAGTGATATATACCAGACTCCTATAAACAAACCTAAGGTATTTTTTTTGTTGAATTTTTTTTCCTTCTTATTTTACGCATGCATATCAGTCCAGGTAATACAACTTAAGTTTGAATCTTGAAATCAACCTCTTTAAAATACGAGTAAAGTTGCTACTTATCTCTCTTAGACCCCTTGTAGGAGAGAGTCTCGGGCACTGTACTCCAATATTTTTCCCTCATACTCACCTTAAGCGGATGGTTGATCAATCGGTGAAGAAGCAAGAGGGACTTTGAATGTAGCTTTCAAAGCTCCATCTTCCACATTAAAGTAGCCTGAAAGTGTGTGTTGACATACTGAGAAAAGATAAGAAAGAAAATGGGCTGGGACAGGGATATATTTAAGTGGTGGAGTTTGCATTCCAAAGTACTTGGAATCCA